CTGTAGACTCGTCCTGGATACAACCCTCCAGGTACACACAGCGGTGCACACACAGATGCATGCAGTAAACGTATATGTACAACTTAGGGCAGTCACTTAAGGTTCTTTTCTCTACCCAGCCTAAGTCCTCCTAAAAACTCAGGCAAGCCAGTGATTCGTGGCCATGCTCCACCTGCTCCTCGGGTGCCTCACACTGGACACAAAGCTTCCCCCGACGGCTTTCAGCGGCTCACTGTTCAACACAGCCGTGCCCCAACCAGTGTGCCAAGGTGACTCTGAAAATAAAACCCGACCTGTTGTTTCACAATGCCCTCCAGGTTCTCCCGGGCCTGGCACTTATGCACTCACAAGTACACAATCAAACGTTCCTCTACAGCAGCGCAGGGTTAGAGAAAGTTGTTATTTGAGCTGGGTGGGGGTCTGCTGGAAAATGTGTTTCTCATATTCTCCTTCCCATCAGCCTCAGTAGACAGGACTTCTCTCCGTGCAGCTTTCTACTGGAGCCAGAGACAACAGGCTGAGCGCTTTGTCAAGTTTTCATCTTTCTCTCTGTCCCACATCCCCCCCTTTTCCCGCTTTTCCTCTAGCATACATTTGTTTTATTGCCTTCCTCAGTTTCCCTCATGCAATAACCGTTATTTTTCCTTTTCCCCATACCTCTTTTTCTTGTACTTTTTCTTCACTTCTCCTCTTTCACTGGTTCCTCCCCTGCTTTTGGCCTGTCTCTCCTTTTTCTCTCTGCCCCATTTCCTCTGTGCTCTCCAATGGTTCTTTAGGTTCTTTCCCGCATAGTCTCTTTGCTTTCCTGAGTCTTTCCATCCAAACTTATGCCTCTCTGCCTCCCCTATAGATATACAGTGCATGAAATGTGAGGTTACTTTCATATGTCTATTTCTTGTTTTTATATTTATTCTCTCCAGTAAAAAATCTACTGATGCTGGACGCTGGCCATGACTTGTGTAACAAAATGTGTGGCCTTATTGGCAAATAAAAGATGGAAGAAATTGTACTGGGAACAACTGTGAACCCTGATTCATATCATCATGTGTATCCTGTAGTAATAATCGTTTTCCATCACCCTAATTCATATTTTCCCTCTTTTTTTCTTCCTTTAAACTCTGACCAACCCATCTAACATTCTATTTACTCATGTGATACTTTTCATTTCTTTTATGACAACATCCTAATTCATTAATCCTATGCCACGTTTCAGCACTCCTCCCTGCAGTCCCGCTACAGTTTTATAGACAAAGCAGACTTTGCACTTTAAATATTTGGATTTGTTTGAATTTTTTTTGTTGTTTTTGTTGGAAAAATGGGCATAGAAAGGTGGAAAGCTGATATGCAAGCCTCTGACTGATCCAGTGAAAATCCAGAATACAGCTATGATAAGGGATTCACAGACATTCTGTTAATATGGTATTATATCGAACCATGCGGCATTGTAATATCTTTGATGTGGTCTTCTCTCTAGGAGGCATCCCCCAGCGATCCCAAACGTCAAATAAGTCTCTTCTGCTCAGGACTCCATTACCCATCTGCCCCCTCTTCCAGCTGCAGCTGAGTGCTACCCAGAGAAATCCCACAACCTGCCTGATGTGTAATCCAGCTGAAGCACTATGCTGGGCTTCTCCCCGTCTCCTCTGGGAGCTGCAGTCTGCAAAATCCACTCCGTCCTGAGTCTGCTTTGTACATAATACATTGGCCATAAACGCTGGAATGTGCGCGACTGTCTGCTGACTTCTATCAAGTGCCTGAACTTTGTGTAAATAAATTTTAAAAAATACCAAATTCAATTATTCTGCTAAAAGAGAATACAAATGCACTGTTTTTACTGTTTGTGAATAAACAGGTATTTTATTTTTGAGCATGTATCCTGGTTTCTTACTATTTGTGTTCTTGGTATCACTCAAATTAATCACTATTCTTGTTTTTCTCTCTCACTTCCCACTAAAAGGTTTGACTTTTGTGGCAGGAAGACTGCATACTGAGCAAAGAGTTGGTTTAAAATTCATTTAATTTATTTCCTTTTGCTGGTGGCATAGCACGGCTTTAGCAGTTTGCCAACTATAAGCACTTAGTAAGGAGCTCATGGATGTTGTATGGGTGTCCACAAACATAGTTACACAACTACTAACTAAACCGATTAAAAACGTGCATGCAAATTAGTTTGTTGAGTGACAAACTAAAATTATTTATGTTCACAAGAGTATAGCAGATACTTTTTATGATAATTAAAAGATTATATATATATATATATATTAAAATTATTTATGTTCACAAGAGTATAGCAGATACTTTTTATGATAATTAAAAGATTATATATATATACACATATATATATATTAGTTTACTAGAATCCAGCAGTTGATGTTGATGATAATTATCAGATTTTATCTTTTTTTTTTAAATCATTATTTGATTTTTTTTTCTGCTTCAATTATAAGAGAGCATAAAAAATATTTTAGCTGAATCTAAAAGGATTTACGTTCACTAGAATGTACTAGATAATGTTCATAATTATTATGGATTTTTTAAAATTAGGTATTATTTAGTGTTTTCTGTGCTTCAAATAGTATATAAAATATTTTTGTTGAGTGACCAACTAAAATTAAGTTTTTACCAGAATCTATCAAGCAGATTATGTTTATGACAAATATAGATATTAAAATTTCTTTTGTTGTGTGTTTTCGTTTTTTGAATGAGAAAAATGTCTACAAAACGTCTTTGTTTATTTATTTTAATTTTTTTTAAAGTCCTGAAATACATTATGTCACGTGGTCAATGGGGTATTTTATCTTATAGGTGTCCCTGACACTGAAACAACGCATCTGGTGAAGGTTTTTTTTTTAGTTTTTTTAGTTTTTTGATTTAATTTCGCGGGTGTTGAGGGAACATAATTCGACACTCAGTCAGAACCGAAGCCGTTACCAGGACACCCGGCGGCGGAACTCCGAGGCCGCTCATCTGGCGGCAGCTCGCCTGGACGGCTGGTGTTCAACTCGGGGCGTCCGACTGCTGTCCTGGTCCGACTATGGCGCCACTACAGCGCTCAAAACGTGCTGGAAAACCCGCCGCCACATTCCAGAGCAAGCCGAGGAGAGAAGAGATGAAGGTACGACACCTAGCGGCGGCTGCTCCTCTGTCAGGTCACCGTTAGCTGCTCCGGCACGTCACACTCACCTTTAACAACACAGTGGTTCTTATTTATCACTCAAAGCCATAATGAGGAAAAGACAACGTGTCGCCATTTAATATATTTAGACAAAAATTACAAATAAACAGAGTAATTCCACTTACATGTACATTAAACGTTGAACAAAAAGGAAGGTCAGTGATTTAAGGATGAATCAGTGTATTTAGGTTAAATGAATAGTGTTATAATATCCTGACAGGGAAGTTTTTATCCACACCCAGTATCTATACACCGCTTAATCCTCATTAGGGTCTTGGGGGGCTGGAGTCTATCCCAGCTGATGTAGGGTGAAGGCCGGGGACACCCTGGACAGGTCACCAGTCTATCACAGTGCTATGGGAAGTTTTTATGCAGTATACAAACTCCAGCAGGTGTTTTTCATCAGGTGACAATCTGCTAGTGTTTGGAGTGAATGCATCACGGCTGACAGTTTGCCTCCTACTAGAGCAGCTCTTCCCTCTTTGTGTTCATCACAGCTGGTTATGCGGCTTCTTTAGCTGTGTAATAAGTTAAAGACCCCCTCAAGTGGAAATCTAGTTTTTTAGCTTGTTGACATGTTCATATTTAGTTTTTTATGCTCGAGGAAACTTCGTGAGCTAAATAAGCTGCAGGGCACCAAAGACAGACAGCAGTGGTTTCACTTGTCAATTTGGAATTGGTGGAATTTTCATAACATCTTCTATCCATCCATTATCTATACACCACTTCGTCCTCACTAGGGTCACGGGGGGCTGGAGTCTATCCCAGCTGACTTAGGGCGAAGACAGGGGACACCCTGGACAGGTCACCAGTCTATCACAGGGCCACAGTTAGAGACAGACAACCAAGCACATTCACATTTACACCTACGGACAATTTAGAATCACCAATTAACCTCAACATATTTTTGGACTGTGTGGGAGGGAAGCCAGAGAACCCGGAGGGAACCCACGCTGCACGGGGAGAACATGTAAACTCCACGCAGAAAGATCCCGGGTGTCCTCACCGGGATGCAAACCGGCAACCTTCTTGCTGCGAGGCAACCACCGACCCACCTTGCAGCCCCCATATCATCATTCTTCTTCTATATGTTGCAAAAAACAAGACTGGATGCAGGAGGATATCCTGGTATTTTTGGAGTACTGCATTTGACATAGTATGCATTTGGACACATTATGGTTTTGCTCTAATAGCAATACTACATAGTTGCCAGAAAAAGATGCAGTCTGCCAAAAACCTAGGATTTAGTAGTACATCCATACATTCAGTCTCATTTTGCAGCATTCAAGCCACAGTCCTCTATTTCACATATGTGTCTTGCTTGAGTTACAACCTTGAGGCGCACAAGCAGGTGATTTCACACTGCAGAGTGTGACAGTCAAAGCTTAAGGCGCAATATTATGGCAAATTACTATCTCCCCATTTGATGCATATGGCATGCAATAGAATGCACTTTGTAAGGGTAGCTGTAGTACACACTGAAAGAAAAATATATAATTTAAAACGCAGGGTAAGTCTACCACATACTATAGTAGCATGGGTATTTTTTCCAGTTCAAGCATGTTGTACCTGAAATATTCCTATATTACAACTTGCCATTGTGTAGAGTAGTTTTACAGTGTTTGTGCAGAATCATAGGTGAGCTGGTGTGCTTGAGCCACAGGTAGTAGCAGAGGGATGAGGGGAAAAAGAGGCTGGGACTTCACAGATCTGCACATTCTAGAACAGTATGTAGTTACATGTAAGCCTCTTTTTTTTTTTTAGCTCATGGAGGGGCTATCTTCATTGAGAAAACTACTCAATTTATAACTCTGACAGACAAAAATGAGTATTTTAAGCGTTTAATCAATGATCAGAGAAGAACTTTAAAACATAGCTGTTGGATATGTGATTCTAATTTAACTGGTGGAAAAAAAGTAGCCTTCAATACAAATTAGAATTTAAAACTGATGTCTTCAAAACTCAAAAAGGTAACATTTTGTGACCTAAATTTTAAATAGATGACAAATGTGTACATTTGACAGTAAAAAATGAGGCCATAGTTCAATCATGAGTATAGCTGGCGCTTTTTGCAGTACAGTGGAGGTAAAAATGAGCTTCCTGTGGTATTTTATTAAATAACACTGAGGAAATCCTATATCTCATAAATCGTAAAATCCTATTAATATTTAAATGTCTTGAGCCCTTGTTTTCAAACACAACACGAGCAACCCTAAAACATGGCACATCTCCCATAGTTTTCTTTTTAAAACATCACTGATATCAAAGGTGCATAGCATCATAGTGTCTCCAGTGATGTTAGTCAGCATTGCACATTAGTTGATATCTTCCATTCAAACTCTGAGGTTGACGGTTACAGTACAGTAGCAGCTTTAACATTAAAAACATTGTTCTCCGCTAGAAAATACTAATTTCGTCGTGGCTGACAAGCATGAATTACTGATGAAAGAGTTGTCAGTTTGGATGTACAGCACCAACAAAACTGCAGTCTGGCAGTAAATTAGTCCGTGTAAAGTTCTCCATTGGCCCACATCTTAAAAATCAGTTTGGTCAGGAGCAGCTTGTGTTAGTCTTGCTTCTGTCCATTAGTTAAGGAAGCGGCTGAGGTCCTCATGAATCTCAGCCTCATCCCAGGGCCCGTGGATGTTGTCCTTGTGCCTCTGCAGCCTGACCAGCAGCAATGGACAGAGCAGTGTAACGCTCCCCAAAGCCAGGGCTAAGAGCACTGCTCCGCCTGGTGACTGGGACCCCAGACCTCCTACCCCTCCTACACACACTCCCACACACACCCCTGCAAACTGACCAGGGGCGTTCTCCCTCAGCCTCTGCAGCAGGCAGGGCCACAGGGCAAACACCAGCAGGGCACAGCTGAGCATGGCAAAGGTGTGCAGGGCCCCAGGTAGCCTTGAGGCTAAGCACACTGAAGCAAACAGGGCTGCATTTAGGGAGAGGCTGCCGGGAGGGGAGGGCTCGGCGTAAGGAAACGACAGCAGGTGGGCCAGCAGCATCACAGCAGACATGGCGTACACTGTGTCCGTACTCACGGACTCTGTTAGTGTCTTAAGAACTGGCGAGAAGCCAAACGTGAAGGACAGGAAAATGGCAGCACTCTGTAAATCAGCCAGATGGGTCCTGGGCTCGCTGCATGATTCAACTTGAGACGATAAGACTTGGTGCAGTCCATAACCCAGCAGGGCGCAGACAAGGCTGGTGCACAGCAGCGTCGCAGGAGACAGCAGACCCTGCAGAGAAAGCAGAGGTGTTGATTAATCATCCATTCCATTCAGTAAAGGCACAGTGTGCTCTATGAAGACCATGAGGACAGTAATGAGGATAATGTGCCCATTGGACAGAGAAGACAGATGGTTTGAGAGAGGAGTTAAAGAAGCATCTATAAATGGTTTTCAACTGCAGGAACTTGAGGGAAGTACAAGGTGGCACAAATGTTGACAGGAAGGGCTCTGTAATTGGCCCTTTCAGCATATTGTGGTGTGTGACCAGACAGCACTTATCTTGTCCTAAAGGAATGGACAGGGTTCGTTGTTGCAGTCAGACCACACACAATGGTTCAGACCGCCCTACAACAACGTACAAGCTCCTGTAGTGGAAAACGACTTTATGTTAAACTGGAACAGCCCTCTCTGAACAGGGGAGGGGTCTACAATACCATTGATCAGATACTTATAATGCAGTCCTCAGATCCCTCCCCAGGCAGTTCCTCCATCGTTAACGCCCTGAGTTATATCAACCTCAGGTCATTACTGAATCTTGACTCATGTGAGTTGGAGGTCAGAATAAATATCGTCACCAGTCAGTTAGACCTGAGGAAGCATCTTGGATAAGAGGTAAAACATCTTCGCAAACAACAAAGAAGTTCAGTTAACCTCTACTGAGGACCAAAGATTTTCTCAAGGTTTACCTGCTCCATGTAGAGCCAGAGGGTGATAAAAATGGCCACACAAGACAGCTGCTGTCCTACAAAGCCTGCTTCTTTCACCACAGCCCAGTAACGGTACTGCCGGATGCCCTCATTCCTGCGTAATTCCTCCAGGAAACGCTGGTCCACGTAGTTGTCAGGAAAGGGCTGACGTTCCCACAGCACCTTCCTCCAGGGCACAGCTGGACCCGGGGCACCGTCTGGCCCCATCACCCTGAACCACACACACAGACAGGTTTGAGAGCAGGCATGTTTGATCCACTCATTAATGTAGCTGGTAGTTTTTTTTTACATTACTTTACTATGTGCGTCCTAGCGCTGAACTTTTAAGCATTTTAAAGTCACAATTTGAAATGCTGCAATCAGCAAAATACAAAGGCTGCAAATGAGTACATATGCTGTGCTGTGTGTCTGACACAGGGCTTAAAAGTGTCATGTCACTGGTTTTACAAATGAATGCTGTGCAACTGAAGTGATTCACAGTCATGCTGTGATCTTATCTCATGGGGATTTGCTCAATCCCATGTTTGAATATTGAACTGAAGCTTGACTTTTAATAATGATATCACAAATCAAATCACAATAGCTGTAAGAAATATCACAATTAGCCCTAGTACATAGCCGGGTCATTTCATCTCAAATCATCAGTGAACTTCTGCTCGACCATCTCTGATTTGCTTTAAACTTTTATTTTTTTAACATAAACAATCGAAATATTAGCTTGACATATCAAATACTATCAATATAACAACATTTTTTAAAAGTCCGCAGACCCATTTTTGGCGAGTTTTTCATGCATTTGAAGCTATGTTTGAACCCAATATCTCAAGAACTATTAAAGATAAAAGCCTGATTTGTTGACTGTTATTTCTCATCATGTCATTGATTCAGAATCTGCAATATTGGACAAGTATATTTACCCATAATCAAGTAGTCCTTGATTATAGGTGAACTGACGTGAAAAAGAAAGTGAAGCTGCCACGAAAAGTTCATCTTTGAGCACACATTTACAAAAAAGTGATCATGCTGAAGTCAACTAGTGATATTTCCTGAACCACGTGTAGTTTTTTGTGTGACAATATACAGCAAAACTAAATATATAAATACTTTTAATATGAAATACATAGAACAAGCTGTACCACAAAAACAAAAACTCTGCTTATTACAACAGTAGCCCTGTCCTAAACTGCTATATTTACATTTAGTTTCAACCCAGTTTTGAGCTTCTATGTTGTATGACAGCTGACCAAACAACACCCTAGCACAGAAAAAAACTTCAAACCTATTGATGGAAACTGAAATATAACAGTGTTAATGTAAATACAGTAGTATATCTTATTAGGGGTTTACCATCTGAACACAGATAGCATCAATTAGCTTCAAGCTTTCGATAGCTTTGGAGGTAATGTCATGGTAGAAATATTTTATGAGCTCATAGACAGTACCAACGGCCGAACAAAATATATATTTCAATCATATTCACACTGATTTGTTTACTGCCAGGTGAATGCATCTGTTGTAAACTGGGTTTTGATGGTTGGTCGGCTAAGAAACTGCCGGTACTTCCGGTGTTGAGGCGCCGATAAAAGCACCTACACGGTGTACATACGTGTGTAAAAATAACAACGTGTTGATAATTGTTGAAATTTCTCTCTAAATGTGTATATGAGGGTTTAAAACCTACCTAGGATGGGATTTTGTTCGGCAGCGATGCTACAATCTCATCGTGTCAGTATCCCGGAAGTAGAGCAGTGTAGTAGCAGAGCCCACAGCGCCCCCTGCTGGTGGAGTTTTTAAACGCACCTGTCTGACAAACACAACTGACCCTTTCACCCATACACTGTCTATGGTTTCACCCTCATGGCTTCATGTTTTTCTCTGTCCAGGTGTCTGTGTTGAACATACGTAGCCCCTTCTCTGTTGAAATGATAAGACCCAGCCCACAGACCTGGATTCCTGCCCGAAGGTAACCTCGTATTTTAGACTTCCATAGTCCTGGAGTGATGGTTTGTGTCACAAAAGTGTTCACCATGTTTAATATTCATCAATAACCTCATCTATATTCTAGCTTTTCAGTGTACAGACCACAGCCTCCTGTCTCCTTGGTAACAGCCAGTAAACCTGCCAGCTCTGATACTGCATCAAAGGTACTGAAAACGCCAACCACCATGGTACAGTGACACAAAAATGTTCATCTCTGTTTTTTTTTGGGGGGGGGGGTTGCTTTTCAGCAGTAAATCGCAATCAATTTAATTTGGCTTTTTTGGCAAGAATGAAAAAAAATCCTTATTTTTGGTGGAAACCAAACAATGCACCTCATCACAAACACACCATCCCAATTGTGGAGCATGGTGGTGGCAGCATCATGATTTGGGGAAGCTCCTCGGCGTCAGATTCTCAATAGCTTGTAAAAGTGGAGGGAAAATTAATGTGGCAAAGTATAGAGAAATCCACCTTGTCTGCAAGAGAACTGCAACTTGGAAGAAGACTTCCACTTCCACCAAGACAATGAAGCATACAGCCAGAGCTACACAAAAGTGGTTTCAAGACAACAAGGTGAATGTTGTGGAGTGACCAAGTCAGAGCCCAGATCTTAATCCAACTGAGAACTTGTGGCTAGACTTGAAAAGGGACAGTCACTTACAATCCCAGTTCAACCTGACAGAGCCTGAGCAGCTTTACAAAGAAGAATGAGGTGAAATTGCAGCATCCTGATGTGCAAGACTAACTGAGATCTATCTACACAGGTTCAATGCTGTGATTGAAGCCAAAGATGCATCTGCTAAATACTGACTTAAAGTGGGTGAACCCTTATGGAATCACTTGTATTAAATGTTGTATTTTTAATCAATTATTTTGTGGAAATTTGTTTTTACTTGACTAGATTAAACTCACCATGATTTATTGCTGAAAAGCAACAAAATCGAGGGAGCTTCAAGGGGAGTTTAAATACTTTTTATGGGCCCTGCATTTTTCTCTGGGGTGGCATGGTGTTACAATAGTTAGCACTGTGGCCTCACAGCTCAAAGGTCCTGGGCCAGAATCTCAGCCTGGGGTCTGTCTGTGTGGGTAGGTGTGAATGTGAGTGTGCTTGGTTGTCTGTCTCTTGTGTTGGTCCTGTGATAGACTGGCGACCTGTCCAGGTTGTCCCCTACCTCCCCTCTAAGTCAGCTGGGATTGACTTCACCCCCCTCACAACCCTACAGAGGATAAAGCAGTGTACAGATAATGGATCAATGTATTTTCTCCCAACATCACACTCAGAAACCCAGAGACCCAGGATAAGGCTTCTGCCTTATCTAACATTCCACATATAGCTGTTTTTATTTTGATCTGATTTTGTAGTTTGTCACATACCTCCTATTGTATATTTGATGTTACAGATAGGATCGTGCCTTAACAGTGTTTCTAGAAGGACTGGCTCATCCCCACATTGGCTGACAGGGCAGTAAGTATCATGAAGCTAAGTGTTATACTGTGACAACGACTAAAACCAATGAACCCCAATACATTTCTGTTTCTTTCCGGTCTGCATCCACTGTCCTTCAGACGGGCCTCTGACTCTGCACTAAAGGAGTGTCTAATCATCAGATCTCTGCAGCACCAGACCTAGAAGAAGCTACCAGATCACTCAGCAGCTCTATCAATGGGTAAGAGCCATTTTCATTCTTCAGATTTTAAACTAGATTGTCTTTTATCTGTAATTTTATTGCTTGATTGTATTGGTTTTTGTTTTGATGTTCAGTTTTTTGTTCAATAGGAATAGAACAGAACACAGAGATCAGAAAAAGTATGATTGTTTAATTTATACACATATACATCTACAGGACATTAGTTGAATAAATATCATTTTCATCACATTCCTTCTTTCTTCACTGATCATTTATTGTTGTAAAAACGGTTTTGTAAAGCCAGTGTGGCTGTTGACTCAGAAACTTTATTAATCTCCTTTTCAGCAACGTAGAAATACTTTTAAAAATGACTTTAATTTTTGTAGAATTTTGGAAGCTCTTTCAAATAAACCAGAAAATAAATGTATTACGAATCCATAAGACTTTCCACAAGACACAATCTCAACATATCATAATTAAAGACTAGAAACACAGTAGCTTCAACTGGACAGAGGAACCAGGAAGGAATACGCACTGAAACCGAGGCAGAAGGTGATCGTTTCTCACAACCAGACAACCTATATCATTGCAGGCATCCACAAAAAAAAAAAAACTGTAACATGTGCACATACTGTATGGCAAAACTGTACACATTTAAAACAATCACACTACTCAGAGTTTGGTTTTTCGCACATCCAACATAAGGCTGTGTAAATTACGAAGGCATGAACTCACTGTATTATCTTTATCTTACGGCACAGGGCAAAATTTCAGAAGACGGAGCTTCTAGCCAGGGTTGTAAACGGCCAGGTTTCAAGAATGGAGCCGAGGAAAGACCAATAAAAAAAAAATAAAACACTCATGGAAACCATAACCACAAGCTGTGGTGGCACCTTAATAGAACACAAGCAACTGATGAGTTAAAAATAATCTCTTGATCAGTACTCCTTCAACCACATATCAGGACAAGCTGTGGACCCATTTCTGCTCGGCCCCACAAAAACATTAGAGCCCAAAATGTTAAATTATGTTCTAGGAATACAAAGACACAAAGATGTTGTTCTGTGGCATCAGAGGCAGTGCAATGGTCAGTTGTTAGTTTGTAATGTTGGCTAAAAAAAAAAATGCTAATACACAGATACTAGCTTCGAAAAGAATGCTGACGTAGCCAAGGCAGTGGATGGCTTGTGCATATTAAACTGAGCAGTGCAATGTCATAGTGGTAATGACCTTCCAGATGTCAGTAAGATAGAAATAGACTTCTGTCACCAGAGAGACGGGCGGGCTCAACATCTTCACACAGTAGGTGGCTGTAAGCAGACACCCACCAGCAGCCGTGAGGCTTCACAGTGGAGGGTAGTGGAGCTGGCAGCCATTTGGGCCACAAGTCCACAAATCACGGCAGAGGAGGGCAGCAGTCATTAAGAGACTTGGAGACGACCCGTTTCCTTTCCTTCTACTCCACGATCCCTTTGGTGCCAAGGAGCAGCATTAGCAGCACAGCTCTAACTAAACACCTGACTTTTCAGTATTGGCATGGAAGGGAAAGTGAGACAGAACAGCAACAAAATAAATGTTTGTAGCAATGGGAGAATTACTCAAAGGCTTTACAGACTGGCACAAAGCTAGCAGCTAAATCCAAAACACTAAGGCAACTTAGATACATACGTAGGTATGTTTTTGAGAGTAGCTAACATTTGGGGAAGACATACTGAGAGAGTGGTTGCACCTCCCACTTCTTTTTGGCAGAAATTAATTCCTCATATCTTCATCTAGCTTAACACTCAGAAGAAAAAAAACATGTCCAAAGAAAAACAGGACATTTTTGCAATTGGCCACTGGCCTGGTAACTTCAAGCTCTGTTAGAAAAATAGTTGCATCATAAATGTGCTTGTAATGTCACTCTCAGTAAAGAACTACAGCAGCCCGGGAGAACCATGAAACAAGAAACAGGTTGTAAATAGAGACCAAGAAGCCTTTTTCCTGTAACAGAGAAAGGGGTTGAATGTAGAGGGGCTGACGGTCAAAAGTTCTTGGATTCCTGCCGTCCCTCAAACTCCAGTGGACTGACGACCAGAGTGTAATGAAATAATTGTTAATAAACGTCTCTAGTTGGTGTCTGTGCATGTGTGTGTGTGTGTGTGTGTATATAACATCTTGTGTCACAAGAGTCACAAGACAGGGGATCAGTTGATAATATCCCAAAAGTTTCTGTGGACAAGTGTGTTAGTTTCTCCTTCTTTTTGCCTCCATTCCAGGGGGGGAGGAGTGTTATGTACGCATTTTCCTTTTATCTTCGAACAGCGAGCGGACAAGGTAGACCTGAACCGCCGACACCAGCATCATCACAATGAGATTGATCACCGACCAAAAGTTCACCCGGTCGAAGTTGCTCTCCTGGAGGTTACGGTCGCGAGCCTCGAACGCTCGCAGCACCGTCTGGATCTGCACACTTTTTCCCAGCCGAGCCTTGACATTGTTGATGGTGTCCTGAAGGAGAAGAGACAAGCAGGTCAGACTGACTCGATCTGAGAAGACAGTGAATGCACAATCTGTCTATAGTTGTTGTCTTATGGAATTTTAAATACAACTTCTTAGCAAAGAGGAATCAAAATGAATTTTTGTTCTTGTTTGAGTTTCTAAACAAAGCAGCGCATTCAGGTGTGTTTCTTCCTCCACGAGGAAACAGCTTCCTCCACAGCTGGAAGATACATTTCCTGCCTTCCTGCAAGTGATGCCTGTGTGACTTCTGACACAAATTAAGGCTATTTCTAGGGGCGGTGCAGCCTACTGTGGTGCAAGCTCAAACAATTGGCTGCCCGCAGCCAATAGGTGAGAGTTCATTATGACATTGTCTATTCTCGTGACAGTCTCCTTGTGACTTTCCCTGTATGTGGTGGATTGCATGCTATTTTGTTGGCAGCCTGTTGGGTCACTTTGCCCCCCTGTGAGCACATGTGGCACAGTGACAAATATCCCAATGGCAGACAGTAGAAGGACAGAGGCCAAAACACCAAGTAAGAGTAAAAAAAAAAGAAAAAGAAAAACCCCACATGAATCAAACACTTTGAATCATATCATCTATAGTCTATCCAAATTTAAAAGTTCTCATACATACAAAACTATTGAATTGCTTGCCTGGAATGTATTTCATGGTCATCAACTGAGACTCACAGCACACTCACCATAATGTCTTCCAGCTTCATATCCAGCATGTCTGTTCCATGCACATACTCCTTCCAGTCATTTGGATCCTCTGTGTCCATGTTGTCCAGGATCAACTCAAAGAAGATGATCTTCTCAGACACAGAGCTGAACGTGTTGTCAAAGCAGAACATGTAGTCTCCATCTTCAGTTTCTACACTGCAGGAGAGCACAAAAAGCACTAAGAACTCGCACATTTACCTTAATCATTAATATGCGTTTCAAGGATAATCTAGGTTGCGTACGTGTGGACGCCGTCTGACTTGCGGTAGTCGCTAAACAGCACTTGGCCAGAAGGAGAGGCGATGTAAAAATCTACATCGAGACCTGCACCATCCAATACCTGTGGAGGGTGGAAGATGGGAATAAATGAAAGGTCAGTTGGGCAGAGAAGATATGAAAAAATCAAGGGATGCTGATGTAGAGATCAGGGCTGAATGAGATGGAGAAATACCTCATTTAAATTTTTCTGACAGAAACTGATTTTATCTGTGATATAATTCTTTATATATAATATTAGTGTAGTATAAGGGTAATATTTATATTATACATTGTGAGAAATGCTAGCATTTCCCCTCAAGGTCTGCGGGAAAGCGATAAGCCTGGAAGCCTTGTTCTTCATTGTAGACACCACATGATATTTAAAAACTTGGCTCCAACAGACACTAACAAAATCAACTCCCACACATCACCTAACGTTTAGAAACACAATAAAGGGATCCATTCCGAGTTGTAATGTGCATCCTGACCGGCAAAACAGGTTCCCAACACTATGAAAATCCAGGTGTGAGCATAATGTGTAGGTATTCTCTGGGTGTGAGCCACATAACCTGCTGGTTCTATGACACCAGACAATATAACACATCAGTATATCAGAGTGAGCTGCATGTGGTTTTAACGAATATTGAGAAACATAAAATACAGGAAACGTGAGTAAGAATAACAAAAGGGCAAATCAACAGGTTTGACAAGTGTGTCAATGTTGACTCTTCCTTGAGGGGCTGCCATGCAGACAGAAATAGGAAATTTTCTATTGTTTATCTAAGCTAACAATTTATGACAAGTTTGTCCAAGTTGTGGGAGTTTTTTATGACCTGATATTCAATCTCCAGGGAAGCATCTTTCTTCATGGTCTGGTAGAAACACTCCTTTCGACCGGGAGGTAGAGTAAAAGTGAAGTCGCTGTCCAGAGACTGGGAGAAGGCAGCCAGCACCACAAACCTGTCCGACAACAACGAAACAAACACGGCCAGGACACACAGAAATACCCGGACTGGCTCCATAGTACGCCACGAAAAGTCCAAAAGAGCCCAAACGGTGTTGCAATAACCGGCCACGGTGCTGGGAAGCAGGCGGCGGAGCTGTTAGCTGCGGTCGCCCAAAGTTGACTCCTGTTGAAGTGTTCTCACTCAGTGCTGTTGAAAGTCGAAGACCCCGCCGGTTTAAAATAATATTTTTTCCCCTCTCCAAACAATGTCACATTAATTCGTTGCTGCATTTTAAATCATCACAATTCAAGATGTTTGCATTGTATTTATTATCTGATACACATTCAACACAATAAAAATAACAGGCAGATATTCAAGTGCCCCTATTGAAATGCACTTTGGGAAATGTTGTTCTTTTGTTCCATGTGCGTTAAACAGGACAGCAGGATGAATCAAAGCGTGCATTCAAAACATTTTTATTTTTACTTTTATTGACAATAGTCTAACGTATCGACACCCGAGAGTTGTTTTTAAATCACATTTAAAGAAGGATGACGTGCCTGAGAAATTTGAAGCGTTTAAAGATGTGTTTTTAGTGTTAAAGGATTTTCTACTCTATTGTGTGTTAACAGTTTGAAACTTCAGTGGGAAATGAGTTACTTAATTTAATTTTATTAACTGTTGGAACTACTACAGAGGGCTACTGCTCCAAAAAAATAAAACAATATGAATATGATACACACGATAGAATAACACTATGGGGCTACATTGAACTTTGATGACAAATGAGTGTTATCTTTTCAGGATTATAAATGACACATTTTTTATTTTTATTTTTATTTTTTACTATTTGAATGTGTTTTTTGCGGTGTTAAAGAAAAAAGTACACAGTGTTCACATTCCTTCACCCACCACACACTTCACCCAGAACGTGAACATGGGAGCCTTAAATTTTATTTTATTTTTTTAAGTATCAGCATTAGTCATTAATACTGAAACGTTTGACATCACACTGTTGTGAAATAAGTTTAAATATTGCGTGCTTTGGGGATTTGCTTATCAAGAAATAGGTGACGCGTCCTGCTCAACAGTCACCAACTCATCCTCAGACCCGGGGGCGGGGCTCACTAATCAAACCCAGCGTGGCGACGTCTCTTATGATTGGTCGAGAATTGCCCAGCGCTAATCTGATTGGTCGGACGCGAAGCGGGGGTTGAACTTACCGGGAGGCAGCTACTCGTCAACAGCAGTGGCTACTGAAGCTGAAAAAGAGGCGGACAGCTGGTCCGCACAATGAGAAATAGCACTCTTCAAGTGTAGGTTTTTATCCTCAGAAAACAGTTCAGTTTTTAAAATTAATACAGGCGGGCACTCGGCCGACATTACAGCCTGTCTTTCGGTGTATTGTGTAGCCGCGAGAGATCAGATAAAACCCAAAGAGCGAGGATGTTGGTCCCCGCGGGAAGATAATGAAGAGGCTGCGCGTTTTGTTGGTGTGCCTCATTGTAGCTCTCCTGTGCTGGTAAGCTTGGCCCGACATCTCCGTTCACGTTATTTACGACATGTCAGACGAATTACAGCCGTAGCAATAAGAGAAATATGTTTAATAATATCAATTTTGTCCGTCATGTCGCTTTGCTTGGTGTCTTTTGCCGCATACCATCCGTTGCTACATAGCTAACAGCTTGTTACAACGTGTGATGTTTCTTTGACCTGTAGCTCAGACAAACAGCCTTGAGATGGCTTTGTTGGAGCCTGACATAACTGACTGATAAAGTGTGTTGTTTACATGTTATTTACAGGGTTTTAGAAGGTTAGGCATTCGGCTGTTGAATAGCAAACATAGCTAGCTAACCCTAAACCAGTGAAGTTGGGCTATGATGGCAAAGGTTACTTGTGTGATGGATGCTAATGTTGACCATGAAATGCTAATGTACTAGCGAGAAAATTATGAATAATACAATTCCTAAATGAATCATTGTTTCAGTATGGATTATTTTCAATGCCAAATAATCTACATTATCAGCTAGTAAAGTCTTAAAATTAACACTGATGCAACGATTAATCGATTAGCTGTCAATTGTTAATTTATTGGTCAACTCTATTATTCATTGTCAGTATTTTTTTTAAGAGAAACACGTCTGAATTCAGTGATTCCAGCTTCTTAACTGTGAATATGTTCTAGTTTCTTTACTTCAGCATGGCTATTTTTGAGTCCAAGTCAAAACAAGGCACTGGAAGATGTCATCTTGAACTTTGGCATACACTGATTAACATTTGTCACCATTATCTGACATATTATAGATAAAACAGCTGATTGATTTGTCAAGAAATTAATGGACGAGTTAATCAACAAGAAAAATAACAGTTCAGTTTGAGGGCTAATGAATGGTAATTTTACAAAAAATACTGAAAGAGGCAAACTATGTAATTTTTATACAGAATTTAGAATGCTGTAATTTTATTTTTTTTCTCATTGTGACTGAGGACATAAACCAGCCATGGTTTAATTATGGGTTATGTGTTGTATTTCCATACAAAATCGGCAGCGTTCACAAGTAAAGTTTAAACTGACGTCCTGAAATGAATAATTATAAACTTAACTTGGGAACAAACTCAACTGAAGATATAAAAAAGATTAAATAATTTAAATAAATACACCATTCACCTTCCAAAATTGTTCAGTGAGTCTGGGCAGCTGGTTTAAACCCAAAGTGACATATATGCTATTATCATATGAAGCAGTTTTTGGCACTTGTGACTAAATGCAGATAAAGTTCACCTTATTAATAAATAACCAAAACAATCAGTGGTGATTAAAATTAAAACGATCCAACCTTATGTTGATGAACCAATATAAAAGAGATACAAATCAAAAACACAGAGGAGCTTGAGTTTACAGCGTTTGTAAAGATTACAACGTAGTATAAAAATGAATTTAAACCTCCTATTACCGATGCAGATGTCGCAGAGGTCTGTTATTATATTCAGGCATGTAAATAAGTGGCACTCTGTAAACCAATGATTGTAACTCTTCTCCATAGTACATGCACACAGAGGTCTGCTAGATTAACTCATGTATGTGTTTAATCTCAGAGGCACGAAGCAGGTAACAATGTGTAGGGTTTGCGGAGTGGGATTAACAGTCCGACTAACGTGCCACCTTTATCCAGATTGGTGAGTCAGGAACAGCTAAGAACCCTTAAGAGTGGCCTGAAGGCTGTGTGTTTCTTTCTCGGCTGTCCTGGTTTTGATGATTCCTCACTGTCACTTTTCTGGACAATAAGTAGGTTCAGACTTTGTTCTCGAGTGAGATACCCATTGTATTTGGTTGAAAAAATAAATACAAGACACATTTGGTGGACTGGTAGTGGTCGAAAGGAAGATGTAAAACTTCTACTTGTAAAACTCCCAGCGTCTGAGCTCTGCCAGATAACATTACATCACTTCAGATGTGTTGGCACGTCTGTCATAATAATGCTTCCTGGAAATTATCAGCATATACCTGTGTTACCAGCACATCAGGGCCAGCAGTTATTGTAAGAACAAGCCCTGTTTCATTATTTTACAGTTTCCTCATAGCATTGGAAGCTGCTGTTAGTGCTCATGTTTTATTTAAAATAACAGGAATTATTGTTATGCAGTGTCTTCATTAATAAGTAAAGCATTCTCCAGTACAGTCTAGTGCAATGCCTTTATAATATTCACAATTTTTTAGTACAATTTGCTGCACTATTTGGTACTGTTTTGATACTGTTTCACTGGTTGTTGAATTACAAACTAGCAGGCCACTTGTTATTCTCAGGTTGTAACTCATACCGTTTTCACAGATTAGGTTATTTTCAAAAGGCCTCAGGTACTGCATGGACAGGATTTAGCGTATCCTTTTGTGTTGATAGCAGGGAAAAAGAAGAAAGAAAGGAGGAGAACTTAAAAACACAGTACCTAGCAAAATAGGGTGTTCCTCTCTGCCTACTGAAAGTCAGAAAAACAGAGATACTGACTGAGTAATCAAAATATTCATAGTTAATCATTTAAATGCAGAAAGCACTAAGGGAATATTGAATGATAAAGTACAAGTGAAGCCACGTTCAGTAACAATTTGGGAATCAGGTGTTTGCACGCCTAAAACATTGGTGCACTTTTTCACTTTCCACACAAACGAACTAATGACCATGCTGCTACACGGACAGACTTCATTACGAATGCAAACCCCTTTTAGCGTGCCACTGTTGGCTTCTCACTCGTCCGTGCCAACTCTCACACGTCCCAATAGGAACAGAGAAGCAGGGAACGCAATCCTTGCAGTAATCCTAAGGTTTCCAAGGCAGCCGTGATTTTAAGCATTGAAAAGGGGCTCTGTGTTTGCAGGCTGGTGGCAAATGGCTACGTGGGGGTGTGTCGTCACCATTCACCTGATGTCTTTTAAAAGCCCCATGCTGCTTGAAACAGCTGGAGCTCATGTTGATATTTATGGTCAGATTTTCTATGTCTTATGTGAATCCTTTGTATATTACTTTGAAGCTGCTGTAGCTGCTCAGCGGGAGATCTCTGTGCTGCAGTGCTCACAGGGGCACAGCAGAATGTGCTCTGTGTGTTGTGCTGCCCCTTCACTCACATAGTCAGCAACAGGGATCTTACTGTGTGTACGGTAAGCTAGCTCACGCTGTTGACATCAGCATTGCTGGAGAAAGTGTGTGCATGTGCTCCTGAGACTGTTTGCGTGAGGGTGCACATTTCCAGCCAGGTTTATTGTCGGTAATGATAGCTCACCACAGACACACAGTTTCTCCATATTTAGATCCTAACTTTAGGGCTGAGACGTTGGTGGCGTGTTAGCACTTATTGCAGGTTACAAACTGTTGGCCGACTGATTACATCTTTATTTTAATAATATATTTTGTAAAACCACCTGAGAACTACAAAAGGTGATTTTTTTAAAAATTGTCTTTGTGCAGGAACGTGCTCAAGGAATGAAGTCTTGTCATCATCTCATTATGTTCCTGTGACATAGGCTTATTAGTTTCACAGCCATTTGAAGATTATTGTCATTATGTAATATGATTAGCGCTTATGAGATAACTGCAGCCAATTGACCAGTTGGAGATTGTCTATTATATTCCATTAGACTGCAGATACTTTTTAATTATCCACAGCACAACAACACTCGCAATGCATTGCAATTCTTTGAGCATGTGCAAGTTAAATTAAGTTGTCTGTCCAGTGCCATTAAATTCTAAATCTGTGCCTAATTTCTGCTGAAATGTGTTGATTAGCTTTATATGTAATTACATGAGACCAGTTCACATTACTTGAAGGCTTTGTGGTATGTGGTATGTTGTTTGCTTCTGCTTTACCAAGCAAGGTGTTGGTGCTGTATGTTTTGACACAAGCTCAGTAAGAGTACACCATAGGGTTTTTGCTTGTCCAACCTGTTTCCTTTCCTAGTTCACCTATAGGATGAGGAGATGGACTGTATGGGATTTCACTTGCCCTCTGCTATCGGATCTCAGCTCACACCTCTACTCCTTTAGCAAATCTAGGTGTTGACTTTGTTGTGATCTGCCTGAACCCGCCAAAAAGCTTGCAATAAGTCAACAGGCTAATGGACTTTATGAACAATAGTATAAGGGGTAATCTCCTTCATTGAATTTCTCTTCTGGGATAAAAAAAAGTATTTTTCATTTCATTTCATTTCATTACACATGCACAAACTTGGAAAAGTTTTCAGTAGATAAAGGTTTTTAATATTTCTTGTTTCTATATTCCAGTGTCTAAACACTTCCTGAAAAACAAAGTGAGTACTATACTAAGAATGAGGCCAGGACATAGCTAGAGGACCCTCTTGTTGAAGAACTATGTGTTCGTAAAAGTTCCCCTTTCGGGGCAGTTGTTGCATAAGAAGATCCTTTGCCCGATGCTCTCGTGCACCGGTGGTCAGCAAGACTGTTGTCACCCATAGCGCTGTGTGTATTTCCCACCAGTAAACACTGGTACACGGCACGTGTACTGGGCACGGAGAGTAAATGACAGAGACACAGAGAAGGCTCTGTGTGCATTTAGGCTATTTCAGCTATGAAAGAGGAGGCTGGGTGGAAGGTAATTTGGAAGGTTACAGAACCAGCTTTCGGAGAACACTGTGTTGCTTAGTTTAACCTTTTCCTGAAGCTCATCACCTCCCAGCTATTCATTTCATCCTGCCGTCTTCTTGTAACTTTTACGGTCTTGTAATGCCATGTGGCTGCTGTGATTTACAGCATGTGTGTCCACGCACGTGCCTTTTTTTTCTGTCGTCCCACCACTGCCTTGATTAGGTAACTGCGTTGTTGTTGTTGGTTTTCCGGTCTTGTCTTTCTGGATGCATGTGCTTTGTGAATGCTGTCTTTGATTGAAGACTAAAGGAACTGAGAAGGTTTATAGTACAGATGGACTGATTATTTGCCTGGCGGATTATCTTGGACGATATTTGGCATTTTTCCTATTGTTGGTATCTGTATTTTTATTGATCAATTATGGATAAAT